AAAAATAAGACTAATATTTTATGTATGTGTTTTTTTTTTCAGTATTTTGCCGTGAATTTGTCATGTTCCTAATTAATTACGTTTATAGAAGCAACTCCATTTGATTCCACCTACATCAGCAGCACAAAGAAACCACCACGAGATAATTTTATTGTTTCCTTGTTTACCAGTCCGGCCCGGTTCCTCCGACCTTCCCAATTAAAATCCATAAATCCTAGGAAGCCATGATATATGTGGAGGCCATGCCGAAAAGGGCAGCGGCCTCCAATACACAAGAATAACCCATAGTTTTAAGCGCGTATCCAGCGAGAAGTGCGCTTGTGTACGATAAATAAGCCGGTCTAAAGCCCCGACTAGAAAAACACGCATGCGAACCCATCAAGATTGCCACGACGAGCCGCCCCCGATCCGCCACGAAATAATTAAACAGATCGTGATTTATGTGTAATTAATTTGGGCAGCGTCCATTGGAAACGGCAATAAATAATAAAGAAAACGGCAACGTCTACGGCAAGCTTTATCCGAAAGCAGCTGGCGAGCTGTCAGCCGCCAGATTAGGGTCAGACGGGGAGCGCCGGGGGCTGGGGGGCGGGGGAGGCGACTGTCAGATCCAGCGGGCCGTGGATTCGTCTCGCACTTAGGCTAGGCTCAACCCTAATCCATTATGGCAGCAGCGGCTTAACTTTCAAAATTTAGAGCTAGAAGCAGACTTTTAAATTTACTAAATAAGATTTCCGTAAACGCGTTCCGAGTAACAAGACGCGGGTTTAACCGAAAAACGCCAACCGGAAGGGAATTTAGGGTCTAGGGTTAGCGAGTAATTAATTACCGGTTCGTGGTTTGGGCTCGTCGCGTCGTCGAAGAGGCTTAACGCGAGCACTAGCTTTGGAGGATGGATGAGTGCTCGGAAGGGTTAAGGCGGCTAAGTTGCCGGCCAAAAATATTAACGACATGTAGAATGGCTCTCAATGTTTTTTTTTAACAATATCTCGCTTACGGTTGAAGTTAAGACCAAGACTGCCTCATTCGTTAATTAAAAAAAAAAAAAACTTAAACAAGAAATGTATAATAAAGGTAACTAAAAAATTAGTAGATTTAGAAATCAACTGGGTATGTGTAGGAAAATGGGGTAAAACTGTTTATACCCTCAATTTTTCGTAATTCAAACAGACCACTGGTAGTCGATACATGCAGTGGATAGGTACACTTGTCAGTCATGTGTATAGCTTCAAACTCATAAATATGTGGTATTTGACGGCCGGGCCATATTCATTAATTTTTTTTTCAGTTTTTAATATAACACTTGTCCCATACCTAAACTTCTGTGCGGTTTCTAAAAGTAAAAAATTAATGTGGAAAACACGAACTGAAAAGATTTTTTGTAAAATTAAAATTAAAATACATTCATGAAAGTTGTACCTATATACCTAAATGGGTATCGAGAAAGTCATTTTATTTGATCCCTGCTTGTTTTTACTATTTGCTTATTTTTGATCATGAGTGCCTTTTTTGCATTTTTTCTACCTATTTTACTTTTTTCCGCCTATTTTGTTGTAAAATCTGAACTTTCTATATCTATCCCTAAGCACATGTTTCTTGCGAAGGTCGCATTTAATATTTCCGGTATTATAGAGAAAGATAATCCAACCCGAGTTTTGGGTAAAAGTGTCGTGGGAATTTCGTTAGCAAAATGCCGAGAACTCAGTAACCCAAATCTATTTTTCTGCGTAAACCATTAAAAAACAAATTTTATTGCACAGCTCAGTACGTAAGAAGGTTTTGGATTAATTAACACACCCATTTAGAGATCTTGACACAAGTTGTCTCTTTCTTTTCTATGAAGAGCTTTGATGTGTTAAATACATCAAGCCCTCCTACAACTTTCTTTTCGAGTTCTCTTCTCGTATCAATAGTTTGTGTTGGCTTTTTCGTAAAGAAAAGTTCAAAAGTGTAAGTGTTAAAAAATTGTTTATGATCTAGTAGTTTGTGCCATTTTTAAAAATACCCAAAGTCAAATCTTCTTTAAAAGACAACTTAAGGAAATGGACTAAAAACGAAAACGTTTTTCAAATAGAAAACGACGAATTGTTCTCTAAAACCTGTGGGAAAATTGTAAGTATAAATTAATAATATTGCCCAACTCAAATGAGAAAACTGGTTGGGAAATTAATTTCATAAATTCACAAAATAACATAACTATCAATTTTTCAAAAATAAATAAATAAAATGTGTTGTAGATTTAATGCCAAAAGTTCTTCAACATGAAAATAGTCAAAAACACGAAACAAATCTAGCTGAAGATACCAGGCAAATTTTAATTTCCTCATTACTTAATGAAGACCATAAGAAAAAATTTTACTATGAATTATGCAGTGCATTTGTTGCAGCAAATATACCATTGAAGAAACTTAACAACAAAACATTGTGCTTATTTTTAGAGAGAAACTGCAAAAATAATATTACTGAGGAATCAACTTTAAGGAAGAACTACTTGTCTCAAGTTTACGATGACGTAAGTGTTTTATGACTGCATAGAAACTTAGGATCGGACATCCTAATTTATTAGGAGTAATATTTTATTTATTTCGTGATTTTATATTGTACTTTTGTAGGTGACTAAAAGAGTTAGAACAGATTTTGCAGTTCAGGATATTTGGATAGCAATAAATGAAACTACAAATTCTAATGGGCAATACGTTGCAACTATTGTAGTGAGAAAATCATCTGTATAGGCAGCTAGTACCTACATACACCACATTTACTGACATCGGAAATATTGGAAAAAACCGATAATGCAACAATGATACGTTTTATCCATGAGTCGTTAGGTAATTCTATAAATTATATAAAAAAATCCATTTTATATAATTTTATCGGACCGATTTAAATTAATTTCGACTTGCATTAGTGTTCAAATTGTATCTTAGTAACGTCAATCAGATTGGTTATATTTACGGTTGCAAAGATGCGTTAATATTGTTGCACAATTATGGTAAATTTGCAACTTTGCTATGTGGTATGGTAAGTAATCTGATATAAATCGAATGCCAATTTGGTCTGTGATCCAATTTCTGAAATAATAATGTTAATTCAAATATAATAATTCAGGAACTTTATGGCCAATGGGGATCGTATACGAAAAACTAAAACGGCTACTAACGGTTAAATGTGAAAATCTGGAAACATATTTTATCCCAACTTAATTCATGTAACATGTTTGTCACACGGCTAAAGTTTAGTAGCTGAAGTCATCCGGAGACAATATGAAGATGCCAATAGTTTCATTTCCAAACTAAAGAAAATATTTCTTAAAATTTTTGCCTCCAGAACCTGTTCTGACACGAGAGGGTTCCTGGATTGAAGGGAAAATATACTGTTGTGATTATTTTGATATAAAAAAGGTTCATAACATTGTTGTATAATTCAAAATTAAACGAAACATTTTAGGTTATACCTATGGAATTTGATTCCACAGTCTCAATCATAATTTGGTTTATATAAAAACCGATTGTACCTTCTTAAAAACAACTATAACTAGATTAGAGACCATTGCGCTAATCTTACATCAGTCTGTAGATATAGTAGAGCAATACCGGCCACCAAGATTGTCAGCAAATTATTACAAGGAAAAAATGTAGAAAAAGATTTAAAAACAAAACCCACTGAAATTTCTAATTTTAAATATTCTCCTTTAACATAGTGTGATGTTGAGAGATCCTTTTCTAGATTTAAAAATGTCTTAACAAACAAAAGGAAATATTTTTCTGGCGAAAATTTAGAAAGGAAGTTAATTTGTTATGCAAATTTTATTAAAGATTAGGATGGCTGATGTAAAATAATAAAATAAATATAATCTAAAGAAAACCAGACGTTGTGTAAAATTTCATTTTCCCAAAACTTGCCATTTTTCGGGTCAAATCCGTTTTTATCGCCTATTTTAGAGTCTATTTTGGCTTTCTTAGCCTAAAATCCGCTCTTCAATCAAAAGTTTATATTCATTTACTGAACAATCAGTATTCGTACTTTTGCTCTTATGTAGTGCATTAAATTTTTCTTCGAGTTTTTTTTGCTTCCTTGTAGCCATAATTTTTTAAATCCTCAAGTTTTCAGGACATTTCCTATATTTTTGAGGATTCTTAATACTTATTTGCCAAATAACGCTCTATTGCCCGCTGTTCAAAGGCATTGGGACTCCATGGGTGTTAAATCAGTATTTCCATAAAACAAGTCGTTAGATCGGGCCAAAATACTATGGCTACTATGGGACCTTTATATTTTCTTATTAACGGCAACAATCGTTTTTGTAAACCCTCTTTGACATATCTTTCAGCATTAATTGACCCTTCAATGAAAAATGTTCCACTTCTCTCAACGCATTGCAAAAATTGTCTGTCATACAAGAAATTTTGGTCGAAATTTTTCAATAAAAACACACTTTTCTGAATCAGCAACATTGTTTGGACTGATAACACAATATTGACGTCCTGCTAAAGTAGTACTTCCTCGATCTTGTACTATTTCTTTTTTTATTTCACTTATTCTTTTGTGCCACATCTCTTAATGAAGTTGATGGATGCTTCCTTGATCGTTTTCCTTTCCAAGTTTTTATCTGGTGTAGGTGTACCTTGCGGTTTTACACTCCTCGACTTTTCTTCGATGGTAAGATCTTCCAAAAATTTTGCAATCGTTCTCTGAATCCTGAAGCGGTTTGTACCATCCTTTTTTTTTGTAACTAAAGATTGAGATTTTGTTTTATATTCTCTAACTAATTGTGCAAAGTTTTCGATCGAATTCCATTGTTACAAATAGTGACAGTAAACAACAATCATTATCATTTATTAAGTCAAAACCAACTCTTAAAATTAATATTTTTAAAGACTCTTTCTCATATGTCTTTTGGTAAAATCAGTAGGGTAAAACCGGGATACATGACGCACGTTTTGAAAATAATTTGTAACATTCGCATTTAGTACTGGAACAGATTAAAAATTATGTCTGGCTATAGAGAAAAGCTTATATTTTATGAATAACATGTCGATTAAGTAAAAAAATATAAAATATTTCTTTAATAAAATAAAAACAAAGAAAGTGTTTTTTGCCATCTCTCCCGCACCATATGGGTTAGTTGACGCAGCAGCTATGGGAGAGATGCCTTGTAACAACATAACATTTTTTATTTGTAAATATTTGGTATAGTCTCTAGATAGGTGAAAGGAATTCTATTTTTGTTTCTTTTGTTCCATGCAGCCACATCTCATGCATGTATTTTCGTAATTGCTGCATGTTTCATGCAGCCATCTCATACATCTGTTGCAACGTATCCAATCAGAATTCGAAGACGTCGTTTCGTATCTGTCAAGACATTCGACACACTCATTTTCATCCAGGTCTTCGTCATCTGTGGTATCATTAACAATAAAATCATCTGCCTCATCTGAAGAACTTTCTTGACAAAATATTCGTTTTTTCACTGTTTTAACAGTTTTAGAACTTTGACTCATTTTCTGTTGCTTTTCTTTTTTCTTTTTGACAGATTCCTCTTTTTTCAGGCGTTTTTCTTTTCTTTCTTCCATGTAAGATAATTCCGTCAAGTTCTGGGCAGACTGTTTTCTTCTTGGACGTTTAGTGGGAACATAAATGGTTGGAACAGGAGAAATTTCACACAAAATTTTTGTAGGCGTCCAATCAGAACTGCTTGACGTTCCAGGAACTGCAAGATTGGTCACAACAGGTTCTTCGGGGCAAACTTGAGCCTCACTCAATCTTTCATTATCTTCGGAAGGTACACGCTGAGTAGGATCAGCAACTAAAAACGCGTATTCGGGAATAACAGAAGGCTTCAACGGAAATATTCCTGTAGCAGCAAATCCTGAAGTTCCATTTTTACTCGTAGCGGCATTAGCCCAAGCGCTGCTAAGGAGCATTCCAAAATGACGACGGTGAATTTTTGTTTGTGGATTTGCTCTGACAAATTCGTCGCATTGATTTTTAAAAAAAGCCTTCAGTGATTTAAAAAAGGACCGGTCTAGGGGTTGAAGGTAATGAGTTGTGTGGCTAGGTAAACACAAAAGAATTACATCATTTTCAACTGCTGTCTCCAGCATTTCATACGAATTCATGTGCGAACCATGTCCATCTAAAATTAGAATACATTTTCCTGGGGGTTTTCGAGGTATAAAATGATTTGTAAGCCAATCCATAAACAATTCTTCGTTGATGTAAGCGGATTCTCTTCGCATTTTTATTACAGACCCTGGTGGCATGGCTTCTTCCCAGGCAAGTTGCTTATTGACTCCTTTGAAGATGCAATAAGGTGGTAAAAAATTACCCTCCGCATTGCAACATGCTACTAGCGTTATGGTTTCTCCCCTTTCGGTTGATTTAATACTTTGAACAACTTTACTACCTTTAATTGCAACTACTTTTCCAGGTTCATTATTGAGCTGTAATCCAGTCTCATCCATATTAAATATGGATAAAGGTTTACTAAGTAAGTCATGATCAGTGAGTGTCTTTGTAAGTAACTGAAAGTATTGTTGCACTTCTTCTTTGTTCATACCTTCAGCTCGAGCTAAGGAGACGCCTTCTGATTGTCGGATACTTAGAGTAGGATTTCTTCGCATAAATAATTTCAGCCAATCATTTCCGGCAATTTTTTTGGTATTGTTAAAACGACCTTGTAGTCCCATCGACTTTGCCAAATTATAAGCAAGTTGACGAAGGGTTTTTCTAGATGGTGCAAATCCCGCTGATTGCAAAGTTCGAATATGGGCTACCAGTTTCTTCTCTGCCTCTTCTCCCAAGAAGGACGCACCTCCCAAAGATCCTTTTTTCAAATTTCCGGTTTTCAGCCGAGTGCGTAGTGTTTTTTCAGGAATATTATGGTCTTTAGCGGCTTGTCTAATTGACCAGTTTTGATTTCGAACAGCTTCCACAGCAGCTCTTAGCTGTTCTTCTGACCATTGGCCCCTACTGCTTTTCCGGGGACCGTACATTGTAGGCATTTTGATCTAAACATTAAATGAAACAGGATTATAATTGATTTATAGTTTTAAATTGATATGCGTCATGTATCCCCAAACAGCGTGCGGCGTCTCTACCAAATGTATGGGATAGACGACGCACGTTCATAGTAATGCACCAGCAAAGAAAGTTGCATTGAATTAACTCACAAAGACACTAGAAACTAACCTATTTTCATCGACTAGTTTGAATTTTACTCAGCAGTTATATTTGTGTCAAAATCGTTGTGGAATTAAACATGCTGTGAAACTTCAGACTGCGCACAAAGTACAAATTAATTAATGTAGTACTTACCACTTGTAATATTGCTGATTTAACGTGAACACCGTTGAAGTAATAATCACGCTATCATATGCAGTGCATTGTTTCACATATTAAAGTTACCTGGCGCGAAATTTAAACGGTGCGTCATCTAACCCGCCGCGTCATGTGTCCCTGTTTTACCCTATCTATTTAAAAATCGTGCAAAACTTTCTAAAGCGAGCCGTAAGTGCCTACTAAGATTAGTAATGAAATTAAAATTAAATTCTTAATTTTTAATTTGGTTGACCGAGTACCATTTATTATTTACTAAGTAGTGGCAATTGATAGGACAACAACTTTTTTTGCATAGTGATCAAATTACCGGACTTTTTTGTCAAAAAATCGTATTTTTTGATCGTACCTTTTTCATTACTTTTACTTTGATTTTTACATTTTTTTAACAATTTTATTCAATGATGGGTCCTGGCGTCTAGGCTTATTGTCTACCAGTTTTTTTTTTCTGTAAATATAGCAACAATTTTTGAGTGACAGCAAAATCGCGAAATGTCAATAACAGATTCTTTTTACTTTTGGCATGCAAAAAAAAATTACGCGTACAACTGATTTTGAAAGTTTCTTTATTTCACTAAAAAAATATCACTTCCAAAAGTAGTTGTACAAATAACTATGTATTTATTTAACAAAAGTATGCTTTAAGTTGTTTTTATTGTTAAATGAATTGACTTGATATCCCAAAATTGTCAATGAAGCTCCTAAAGATGTTGTAAGTGTTTTATAAGAAGAATGGAATCGAAAAACAACTTAATTCGATAAACTGTGCAAACCACACGCAAAAAGGTAACGGACTATAGCTAAACTACAAGTAGGTAGGTACTAACCAATATATTGTATATTGAGAAAAAATAATTCAGCTCATTATTTATCCTATTTAGAGCATGAAACAATCCCATCTAACAAAATTACTACTTAATTTTAGAAAATTAAAACTAAGTATTAAAAAACAATAAAAAATTAAACAAGACTTCTTCATGAAAGTTAAAGACATTCATCATGTTAATGCCTCAGCTTCCACAACGAAATTGAGTAATCACAAGCTTAATTGAAGAAAATTACAGAGCTTCATGCTCCCAAAGCTTTATTCAATGATACCAAAAATATAAAGTATAAACGGCAGTTTTAGTTTTCAATGTTCAATTTCGTAGAGTAGTGTTTATCGAATTTATGTGGTATGTTGTCAAGCTTCTGTGTGTTCGCATAATTTCTGCTATCTGTTTGACCCCGACATTGATTTTAATTATTGCACAAAAAGTTTAGTGACACTTCCAACACTCTTTTATTTAATTTTACTTTGCTCTCCACGAACCCAAATCCCAGATCAGTTTAGTGTCAAAAAGCGATATGTAAAACAGGGATTGGGCAGTCCGAACATCGAAAAGCTTTTGTGATAAAATACGTCACTTCAGGAACACTCTATTAACAGATTATCTGAAAAAATAAATGCTAATAGCCGGGGATTTTTTTGCCGATACGGTATTCTCTGTTTACAGGAGATAAAATTAAACTTATGATTTATTTTCGTGACCCTACGGTAGGAGTGAGAGACAAACAGCCAGCAAAGGCCGGCTCTGTCCCTCTGGTTAATTGCTATGTAATTAATGGGCATACATAATTGCAGACCGCAAAGAATTCATGTGTTGTGGGGGTGCTTTAGTTAATAAAACGCATCGGTTGGATCTGACAAGACGACTTATCCCTGGTCGTTAGTCAATAACGCTGGACTTCAGGGTCGGCATTTCGAGTAGAGTTTGACTTTTTGTGGGCCTTGACCGGCAGTGGCGTCTCGTGGGTCTTTAGATCCTATCGCTGTGCGCTTGTTTCGACACGTTAAAGTTGAAGTCGTGTTACGCCCCTCAAACTTTAGTTATTTAAAAGGGATTTTGCATAATTAACATGCACATATTTCCTAAGGCATTTTCCGAAGTTCGGGCAGATCAAAGATCATATTGCGTTAGCTGGAAAGTTTCTATTCGAGCTGGCTATATAAGAAATACAAAATTTGCCACGAAAATTTAAAAATTTTATTTTATTTCATCATTTCAAAATAAAGTCCGATTTGTTGTTAGTTTAACAGGACAAATCTGCAATTAAACTGTTTCGAGAATTTTTATTACCTACATAATAGGAAAATTAGAAGACGAGTGGTGATTTTTTTATGTGATGTTTGTTAAATATAGCGGAAAGAAATATGGTTTAGTGACCTAGACGTGATGATAAAATGCTTAGGTTAGAAAATGATTAATTTCAAAAGATAAGATGGTTAATTTGTGATCATAGAGTGATGAACTTCCGTCTCTGCATGATCGATGTTGGCTGTATTTTAATACTACTTTAATCTCATTTAAAGGATAATTTTATTTCAAATTAATATATGTTTGCACACGGATCAATTTAAAACCTTTTGTCGTGTGTACTACCGACAGTTATTTTTTACACGTTTTTGGTGTACCGTTATAACAATAATTTAATCATTGACGTCATAACGTAGTACATAAGCACAAATTTGGTGTTAAATTTTGTATGTAATTAGTTTTGTTTGCGACAACGTCAGGCGAAGTGATTTATTTTTGTTTCGTTACCTTGTTTGTCGCATTTTCTTCCTTTAATAAATCTAATAATATAGGGTAAATGTGTACAAGAGTGCGCATATGTATAAGAGTACGCACTGATGATTTCTCCTTATTAGTGCCATCTGGGTAAGATGAAGTTATACCATTCACAATCAAATGCTAAACTTGAGATAAAGGTGCAACAGTGACCTGTATATAGTTTATAGTTTGATCGTACTGACGATTTTATGTTTACGCGTTGTGTGGATGTAATTTTTACAGCTCATAGTTTTAGTTTTTTGTAAGGTACGTACCAGTTCTTTTATTTTACAGTAATAATGTTCATTAGCTGTAACTTTTAAGGTGTCGTTATACACTAGCAGTTTTATACTTTCTATACATCAAAAGCTTTTAACTTTGAAAACATTAGGTTATGTACAAATGTACAAGAGTGCGCAATACTTGCGATACGTAGTCTTATAGATACATATGATATCTACTATAATGAATTATTTAACTCTACTACTTTGTACTGCTTCTCAAGTTGTGTGGTGGTGGTTATGGTGATGTTTGTTTTTTAATTTTTACTTCCTGAGCGTAAGCGAATGAAGTATTGTGATCGAGTCCGTCGACCGACTCTCTACTTTTACGTTTTCTCGAATTTCAAGACCCGTAGAGTACGAAGAAATATGGATCCCGTTGTATGTGTAGTCTGTAGTCACTTGTCCCTATTTATTTTCACCTTAGAAATAAAGATTTTTTTCATAAAATGTAATGCGCACTCATAAGCGTTCAAGTGCGCACTCTTGTGCAGTGGACTGTCTAAGAGTGCGGATTTACACATCTTGACAAAAATTGAAATTACTCTTAAAATATAGTGGTCTTGGGACGTACAATTAAATATATCTGATCTCTAAACATGTATATGACGAACCCATGTCATAAAATTTGTCTATCCAAAATAATTAAAAAGTTATTGACAGTTTTACACTAAGTGCGTACTCTTGTACACATTTACCCTAATACTTGAAGTGACTGGTGAGACAACAAAATTACAAATACGAAACAAATATAATTTTTTAAACTGTGGGTGTTATTTGTAATTTAAATTTATTCGTTTTGCATGTATCAGTGTTCTACGAAATTCTTATTTGTATAAGCAAAAGACTATTCAATTACTTTTTAAATAAAACGACAGCTGTAAATCATGATAAAATTACAAAGCTTAGCCCACATGATAAAATAAAAATTTATATTATGAGTGCATGCAAAATGAAATGTAAACCAACGTTGAATGCTGGTATTTACATAAAAATAATAGTCCGCCATACTAAGTTTGGAGAAAGTGCTGAAAATAACCGATTATACAGGGGTGTTTACCGAATCAACGTCCTAGCAGTGAAAGTCAACAACCTATTTCTTTATTACCGTGTGACGTTAATTTAAAGCTTGGATCATAGCCCCTGTTTTGACGGGCTAAACCAAAACTGAACGATATTCGGTATTTACACGCCCACAAGGCAATAGAAAAAAAAATCACATACCTAATTTATGCCTACCGTCGGCATTGTTTTTTTAATAGCAGCACGATTTTCCCTTTTTTAAATTTGCAATTCTATCATTGATAAAAAAAAAACTATCTGATGCTAACTTTCTGCATCACTTTTTTTTACTACGATGTTTGAGGGGGCGACATACAATGTTGATATTTCTAATGCAAGAAATTCAATTTTCGATTTAAAATAATTATTATCACCAACCCATTGTGTTTAAACGCGAAATATATCTATATCTTATACAGCAGCGACTTACTAAACAAAGATCTCATTAACTTTATGCTTTAATTTATCGGTGCTGTGTTTACCTATGTACCTACTCGAAATATCTCATACCGACTCGATGTATTGTTTTCAGCAGAATCATTTCAGTCTTAAACCCAACAGAGTTTCAAGATACGAGACTGAAATTAAAGTATTAAATCATTATCAGAATTAATGAGATAAAAAATAAAATAAGAAATACATACATATATATTTATAAGTGATAAAACAAATTTCACCTAAATTTTAATAAAGGGCAATATTTTCTCCTTTAATTATTCTATAGGAAAGTTAAAAGGCAAAAACTGAGGACAATTGAAAATGATTTTCAAAACCACCCTTACCTTTTTTAAAAACTTAATTCTTAAACAGCTCGAGAATAAAATGTTAAAAATCACAATAAAAGGGAACGACTCCAGATTTTAAATGTCACTATTAGAGATACATTTTAAAATAAACAAATCTAGTAGGTATCTTTCAACGACATAACTCACTCACATTCTACAAAACACGTTAGTTAATATTTACATACATATTCTAATTCTATTGCAATCTTTACTCAGGTTTCACTTAGAACGTAAATAAGATCACTGTCTTATTTAAATTGCATATTATTCTTTATCTAATACAACCGGAAAACTTATCTAGACGTATGGAAATGAACGTCTACATTTTCATACTCAAAGTAGGTGACAAGAGTGCAATTAATTAATCACAGTTGAACTGACCCATAAGTGAGAAACTAAACA